TTTGGTTGCAGGTTAGAGGAGGCCCCAAGCTGGTTGGGCCTGGTAGGCATACTTCCTTGGAGTCATGTGCTCTGGGATCTCTGGCAGGCCTTTTGGGGGATGTGGGAAGTGGATTTGGGAAGGAGGTCTGTGTGAGGCTTACAGCCCTGATGCATGCACTTATGGGGTCATGTGGCCCATGAGGTTAGGGACAAGTGCAAGGGCCTGGGAGAGGAGTCAGCTGTGGTAACAAAAGGTCCAACAGCTCAGTCCCATCACATTCAGAAAGTTGTCCTCTGATGAGCCTGGGACTTTCTGAGGAAAAATGGAAGAAGAGGCGAGAACCAGTTCAAATTAATTCATTAATTCATTCAAATATTAATTCATCCATTGACTGCAACAAGTCCTGGTTGGTTATTATCATTATTGTTTTTGTTGTTGCTATCATGATTTTGTTGTTGCTAGGTATAGGGACATAGGATGAATCAGATGTGGGCCGAGCCCTCAGGGTGCTCAGAGAGAGACAGACCAGAGGATCTCAGCCATGTGACAAGGGCTCTGTTGGAGGGATATGTTAAGTTTGTGGGAACAGAGAGAGGCGAGTGACTTAGTTGTGACAGTCATGGGCAATGGACAGTGCAAGTCATGCTAAAGGATTTAGAAGGGTTAGGCAGGCAAGCAGGGAGGGGACTGGTGTTCCAGGAAGAGGGAAGAGCATTTGCAAAGTCCTGGAATGGAGAGGGCCTGTGGCTACTTGGAGGAGCTGCAAACTCCCGACTCTCACTCCTTCATACATTCATCCGTCCACTTGCTTTGGGCCAGGCACTGTGCTGGGCACAGGAGCCACTAAGGTGAGGCCAACCTAGCTCTGCCTTAGGGTCTCAAAGTCAGAGGAGGGAGACAGACAATTATTACAAGAGCAGAAATAAACATAGATGCCTTGCAGAGGAGGGAGGATGGTACTATGGTCTAAACGTCTCCCCATATTTATTTGTTGAGACTTAATCCCCATTGTTGTGATATTAAGAGGCAGGCCTTTTAGAAAGTGATTAACTCAAAACAGCTCTTCCCTCATGAATGGATTAGTGCCTTATTAAAGGACTGGAAGGAACCTGCTTAGGCTATTTTTGCCTTTTTGTTTTCTGTCATGTGAGGAGGCAGCAGGAAGGCCCTCACCAGACACTAAATGCTGTGCCTTGATCTTGGACTTCCCAGTCTCCAGAACTGTGAGGAATACATTTCTACTGTTTATAAGTTACTCAGTCTGTGTGTTTTGTTATAGCAGCACGAAAAGACTATGACAGATGGGCAGGGAAGTCTTCTTAGAGGAAGTCTTTGAGTATTCATTTATTCAACAACTATGTAGAGAATGCCAGTTATCTGTCTATACTCTGTCTATACCACAGAGACTACAAAGTGAATGATTGTGGCACTTTCACCCTGAGAATGTTTCAGTCAGCTTAGGCTAAGTTATGTTGTGGTGACAAACTCCAAATATTGGTAGCTTATGACAATGAAGGTTTATTTTGAGCTCATGTTATCTATTCATTGCTGGTAGCAGAGAGAAGAGAGATAGTAGAACCATATATTGGTTCTAAAGTTTCTGCTCTGGGGTGGCATGAGTCTCTTCCACCTACATTTTATTTGACAAGATGAGTCACATGACCAAGTTTGACATCAGTGCATCAGGGGTACATAATCCTCCCACGGAGAAGGGCAATGAATATTTTGACCAATCGTCATACTCTATTGTATGTCTGAGTAAAGGCTAATAACTCAGTCTGCCTAGAATGTATGGGATAAGGGTGGCTACAACAATAAAAAGATTAAGGAGAAGCTACATCGTGTGGGGCCTTGGGTACCAGGCTAAAGAGTTTGGGTTCCATTGAGTGTCAGTGGAGAGCCACTGAAGATATGAAGAGTTCTGTTGAGTTTTAAGCAAAGGAGAGCAAGGTCTTATATATGTTTTAGAAAAATCATTTCAGTAGCTTCAGGAAAAGGCCTGCCTAGGGGTGGGGGTATTGAGGCCAGAAATAAGAAAACAAACTGAAAAGTCGTGAGAATACCACAGTAGAGTGAATGAAGAATACTCAAACTAAGGTTGGAACAATAAAGGAGGAGAGGGCTTCTAGAGCTGTTAGGAACAGAATCAAGGGAATTTCATTGGCGCATTGTTCAACAGATATTTTAGAAACAAAGAATGAATGAGACTGGGAATGGTGGCTCATGCCTGTAATCCCAGCAGTTTGGTAGACCAAGGTGTGTGGATCACTTGCGGCCAGGAGTTGGAGACCAGCCTGGGCAACATGGCGAAACCTCGTCTCTACTAAAAAGATAAAAATTACAGGTGTATGTCTGTAATTCCAGCTACTCAGAAGGCTGAGCATGAGAATCGCTTGAACCTGGGAGATGGAGGCTGCAGTGAGCCAAGATCACGTCACTGCATTCCAGCCTGGGTGATGGAGTGAGACTCTGTCTCAAAATAAATAAATAAATAAATGAATGAATAAGTGAGAGAACCTTGAACCTTGCATATCAATAAAATATACTTGAACCTTGTATATCAATAAAATGACCAAAAAATTGATCCCTTATAAAGTGAGACAGAACTTGATGAAAATTTTTTATTCTTTTTAAATTTTATTGATTTTCAAAAGTGTACTTTTAATTTATGTATTGTAACATTCATTTTTTTGCAGTACAGATTTGTGATTTTGACAAATGCATAGACTTGTGTAACTACTACCACGATGAAGATATTCAACGGTTCCATCACCCTAAAATTCTCTCTAATGCAGCTTCTCTTTGTTATGTTAGTCCAATCCTCCCTTCTCCCCAACTCTTGGAAACCCTGATACATTCTCTGTTGCTATAGTTTTGCCTTTGCAGAATATGGTATAAATGGGATCACACAGTATGTAGTCTTTTGAGTCTAACTTCTTTCAAGTAGCATAATGCATTTGAGATTCACCCAAGTCGTTGTATGTATCAATGTTTCTTTCCTTTTTACTTCTTAATAATATTTCATTGTATGGCTGTGCCAGAGCTGGTTTATCCACTTGTCTTAGTCCATTTGGGCTATATAACAAAATACCATAAACTGGATGGTTTATAGACAGTAGGAATTTATTTCTCTCAGTTCCAGGGGCTGGCAAGTCCAAGATAAAGGCATCAGCAGATTTGGTAGATTTGGTGTCTGAGGCTCAAAGACAGCACCTTCTAGCTGTGTTCTGACATGGTAGATGGGGATCTTCTGGAGCTTCTTTTGTGAGGGTACTGTGTTAGTCCATTCTTTTTTTTTTTGAAACTGAGTCTTACTCTGCCACCTAGGCGGAGTGCAGCAGTGTGATCTCAGCTCACTACAACCTCTGCCTCCCGGGTTCCAGCGATTCTCATACCTCAGCCTTCCGAGTAGCTGCGATTACAGGTGTGTCACCATGCCCGGCTGATTTTTATATTTTTAGTCGAGATGGTGTCTCACCATGTTGGCCAGGCTGGTCTTGAACTCCTGGCCTCAAGTGATCCACCTGTCTCCCAAAGTGCTGGGATTACGGGGCATGAGCCACCACACTCAGCCTTAGTTAATTGTTGCATTGCTATAAAGAAATACTTGAGATTGGGCAATCTATAAATAAGAGAGGTTTTATTGGCTCACAGTTCTGTAGGCTGTACAGGAAGCATGGTGCTGGCATTTGCTGGACTTCTGGGGAGGCCTCAGGAAGCTTTTACTCATGGTGGAAGATAAAGCAGGGGAAGGCACATCACATGGCAAAAGTGTTGTGGGAGATGCCACATACTTTTAAACAACCAGATCTCACATAAACTCAGAGTGAGAGCTCACTTATCACCCAAGGGGATGTGCCACACCATTGATGAGGGATCCACCTCTGTGATCCAAACACCTCCCACCAGGCTCCACCTCCAACACTGGAGACTGTATTTCAATATGAGATTTGGAAGGGACACATATTCAAACCATATCAGGCACTGACCCCATTCATGAGGGGTTTGCTTGCATAATTTCATCCCATCCCAAAGTCCCCACTTCTAAATACCCTTACATTGGGGATTAGGTTTCAACATATACATTTGGGAGGACAGAAACATTCAGATCATAGCACTGCTCACCAGTTGAGAGACATTTTGTTGTTTCTGATTTTGGTGTAATGAGTATAGCTACTATAAATATGAATTCAGTTTTGTGTGTTATAGTGGTTGTTACATCAACTGAGTATTTAGTGGGATTGCTGGGTCATGTGTAAGCATATGTCCAACTTTATAAGAAACTGCCAAACTGTTTTCGTAAGGTGGTTGTATCATTTTGCATTCCCATCAGCAATGTATGAGTGCATCAGTGGCTCTACACTTGGTTTTGTCAGTGTTTTCCCCATTATAATGAGTATTGGCATGTCACTGTGGGTTCAATGTGCATTTCCCTAATGAGTAATCATGCTGAGAATCCTGTGCTTATTTGCCATCCATGTATCTTCTTTTGTGAAGTGTCTTTTCAAATATTGTGCCCATTATTTTTTTTCTTTTTGAGATGGAATCTCATTCTGCTGCCCAGGCTGGACTGCAGTGGCATGATCTTGGCTCACTGCAACCTCCGCCTCCCAGGTTCAAGTGATTCTCCTGCCTCAGCCTCCCGAGTAGCTGGGACTACAGGTGCACACCACCATGTCTGGCTAATTTTTTGTATTTTTAGTAGAGACAGGGTTTCACCGTGTTAGCCAGGATGGTGTTGCTCTCCTGACCTTATGATCTGCCTGTCTCAGTCTCCCAAATTTCTGGGATTACAGGTGTAAGCCACTGCACCCGGCCGTATTTTGCCCATTTTTAATGTGGGTTGCTTATTTTCTTACTGTCAAGTTTGAGAGTAGTTCCTATAGTCTGTATATCCTTTGTCAGATATATGACAGTCCGTGGCTTTTCTTTTTCATGCTTGTAATTTTAATTTTGCTCTTTTTAGAGCAAAAGTTTCTAGTTTTAATGAAATCCGACTTATCAATTGTTTCTTTTTGTGAATTAAGTTCTCAGTGTCATCTCCAAAAACTCTGCCTAACCGTAGGTCATGAAGATTTTACCTATATTTCAAAATTTTACCTATATTTTATTTTACCTATATTTTATTTTAAAAGTTTAAAGGTTTTTATATTTTACACTTAGGTCTATGATTGTTTTGAATTAATTTTTTGTATAAAATGAACATATAGGTCAAAGATTTTTTTCCTGCATATGGATGTCTAATTGTTTCAGCATGATTTGTTGAAAATTCTGTCCTTTCTCCACTGAATTGTTTTTTCATGTTTGGCAAAATTCAATTGATCTTATTTGTGGATGTATTTCTGAACTCTGTATTATATTCTACATAGATCTATAGTTAGATACATAGAATGTGTCTCTTCTTTTGCTGGTACCATATTGACTTGATGACTGTAGCTTTATAAGAAGTTTTGGAATCAGATAATGTGAATCCTTTAGCTTTGTTCTTTCTCAAAGCTGTTTGGCTCTTCTGCATTCTTTGGATTTGTATGTGAATGTTGGAATCAGCTTGTCAATTTATACAAAAAAGCCAGTTAGGATTTTGATTGTGATTGGGTTGAATCTATAGATCAATTTGGAAATAATTTATATTTTAATAATTCTGAGACTTCCAATTCATGAACATGGTAGATCTCCCCATTTATTTATGCCCTCTTTGATTCCTTTCATTACTGTTTTGTAGTGTCCAGCATACAGGCCCTGGACTCATTTTGTTAGAGTGTAATTAAGAATTTCACTTTTACAAATTGCATCTCTCCATGTTTAACACTTTGTCTCTCTTGATCCATCACTTATATATATTTGCTAGTGAGTCTTCACTTACTATAGATTGCTTATTATAAAGGAAATTTTTAAATCTTGCAAAAGACAAAGGATTTCACAAAGTTTCTAGGAGCGTTGTTGAAGTAGTCAAATCTACGAAGTCAGTGACAAAGGAAGATCCAGATGAGGTGGGCAAATTAACAAAAAGAGTATTGACAAGTAAGATAAAATATGACTTTAAAGAGGGAATGATTTAAATATCAAAGGATTTCGAGAAGCCTTTGGGAAAACTAATGAGCCTGGAATATTTGTATAAAAATTCTCTGTGTAAATCAAAGATAAAATACAAGGAAGCTACATTATATTCCTGTATATAATATATGTTGGGAAAATATCAACACTTGAATTTTCCATTCTTTAATAGTTAGAAAATGTTTGCAGTAAAAATAAAAACTTTCTTACATAAAATATGTAAACTTAAAATAATTTTTGGTTTGATTTTAAAGTCTCAATCAACCCTTACCTTCTAGTAATTATTAGATAAATCAGGTCACTGTTTTAAGTAGATTCATTTTAATTAGCCTTAAAGGTTTTACTCCTCCAGCCAGCAGACAAACACTGGGTTTATTAGCTGATCCAAATAGACACTAAAAAATATGCCAGGCCTCCAGCTTCAGGAATAGCCAGATGCAGAATCCCAGATTTGGTCAGCTGAGAATGCCTGTGTGATGGAAGAACTCCAAGATTACCCCCAATTATCCCCACCCCTGACACTCCAGCCGTGTGTAATCCCCTCCACTTGAGTGTGGCAGGACTTGGGACTCATTTATAATGAACGGGATAGAAAAGGTGACCAAGGTGACAGGATGCCACTTCAGTGATTACATTAGATAAGACTGTAGTGTTCTCTTGCTAGTGGACTCTCTCTCTCTGTCTTGCAGACTTCAATGAAGCAGGTGAGTAAGCTGGGGAGGCCCTCAGTTCAACAGGCTGCAAGGACTGAGTTCATTCAACGATGTAATCTTGGAATAGGTCCTTCTCTAGTCAAGGTTTGAGATAAGATTGTGTGGATGACAATGTGATTGTAGCTTTCAGAGGGGATCCTTGAGCAGAGAACCCAGCAACATGATTCCTGGACTCCCAGCTCATAGAACCTATGAGGTGATAAATACATGTTGTTTTAAGCTGCTAAGTTTGTGATAATTTGTTACATAGCAATAGATAGAGAAAACACCCTGGTGCATTTAGCCACTCTTACATAAACCCACCATACATGCGATTCATTTAGTTCTGGTATAAACTTCTCACTGCAGACCCTGTATTAGACTGCTCTACACTTCTATAAAAAACTACTTGATACTGGGTAATTTAGGAAGAAAAGAGGTTTAATCGACTCACAGTTCCACAGGCTGTGCACAGGCTGTGCAGGAAGCATGCCTGGGAAGGCCTCAGGAAGCTTACAATCATGGCGAAAGGCTGAAGAGAAAGCAAGCACCTTCTTCACGTGGCAGAGTGGGAGAGCTAGAGTGAAGGGGGAAGTGCTAGACACATTTAAACAACCAGATTAAACAACCTCACGATCCAATCACCTCCCACCAGGTCCCTCCCCAACACTGGGAATTACAATTCAACATGAGATTTGGGTGGGGACACAGAGGCAAACTGTAACCAAATCCTATCAGACCCATATTTCTTTCTCTCCTTCCTTCCCTTCCTTCCTCTGTCCTTTCCTTCTGTTAGGAAAGATTATGAAAGACTTTCAAATAGGCAAAAAAAAAAAAAAAAAAAAAAAGATTACTGGGTTTTTTGTCCAGTACAGTTTTCTAGGTTATTGCCTTTTATTGTCTTTGAGCTATTTTACAACTCTGTAAGTTGAAGAAAACCCAGAATAATGCAAATTATTCTTGCCCATGGGAATACAAATAATTGTGTCCAATGGAATGCAGTTGATCTTTACCCTGTGGATAGACCAGTTTTATTTCTGTATGTAAGTTGATCTCAGCATTCCTTACTGACTTTACTGTGGGATTCTCTACTCCTTTCAGTGGGTTGTAACATCTGACTGGTTCTATCATAAACGAATGAGTTAAATAAAACTTTTGATACATACTCATTTTACATGAGTAAAGAGTTATGATTTTTACCTTAAAAAAAGATCTTTTGGCTAGATGTGGCCTGTAATTCCAGTACTTTGGGAGGCTGCGATGGGCAGATTATGAGGTCAAGAGATTGAGACCATCCTGGCCAACATGGTGAAACCTCGTCTCTACTAAAAATATAAAAATTAGCTGGGCATGGTGGTATGCACCTGTAGTCCTAGCTACTCAGGAGGCTGAGTCAGGAGAATCACTTGAACCCGGGAGGCGGAGGTTGCAGTGAGCTGAGATCATGCCACTGCACTCCAGCCTGGCGACAGAGGAGTGATAATCCATCTCGATAAAAGAAAAGAAAAGAAAATAACAACAACGAAAAATCTTTTAACATTTTCTTCCTCCTCCCCTTCCTTCTTTTCTTCCTATTAACATTGAATAATTACTATGTGCCAAATTTGGTTCTATTATCTTTCCAAGATTTATTTCCCTTGAATTTCGCAAAAACTTAGAGTAGGCATTTTATTACCCTATTTTATTTACAAATGAGAAAATTGTGACTCAGGGAGGTTAAGAAACATGACTGCTTCTAGGAGAGTGCTGACTCATCCAGGACTGCTGACTCTGAGCCACCAGACCACCTGGCCTGGGACTGAGGGGTTTCCCAGGACACAGGACTTTTAGTACTAAAACTAGTCCTGGGCAAGCCAGGGTGAGTCTGTTGCCCTGCATAGCTCCAGAAAGCCCAGGAAATGGACTCACCATGTTTAGCTTCGGATGTCCTGTCTTATCTCACAAGTCCTGCCCAGTACATGCTGGTGTTTCAGCTTCAGGGCTGTTTTGTGCCTGCAAGTGCCCTGATGACTTTCACTCTTCCCTATGCTTTGCGAAATATGGCTGCTTTATGTAGTGTTCCAGGGAGTGCTGTTCTAGCTCTTGCCCAAAATGCCCTGTGACTACAGGCCTTTCCCTGCTCAGCCAGCAAAAGCCAAAGGTAGAATTTTGTTGCTTCCTTGAAGATTCACTTCCTGTCCAGAGTCTCATCTGAAAACAAAAGCCCCTACTCAGCACAGTTTCCTGTGTAACAGCATTAAACATCCCCTCAGCAACCATTTTACAGGAATATTATCAGTTAACTCTGCTTTCCTATGCCCTGGATAAACATCCCAGATAACCTCTGGATGGGCTGAGAGAAATGGGCCCCAGCAGTTTCTCTTATCTTTGAGGAAGAGGAATGTTGGATATTTCTATGTATTGCAGAATCCTATGGAGGTCACTTAGCTGGAAAACTGGGTTTCCCTCATCTTATAGACTGTAACTACTCTGATCCAGAAAGAGGCTGGAAATTTGTGGTTAAAGAACTCGAAAGGTTAGCAGGATTAGACTCCCACAGATCAAGTTCAAAGAAATGCTTCAGAAGTAAGCAAACAAACAAAATTAATCACCCTCTAACAACAGATCTTCTGGAATCAAGGGGGATGACTTCAAAAGCAATTAACTTTTTTTTTTTTTTCCAAGACAGAATCTCACTCTGTCACCCAGGCTGGAGTGCAGTGGTGTGACTGCACCCTCTGCCTCTGAAGTTCAAGCGATTCTCCTGTCTCAGCCTCCTGAGTAGCTGGGATTACAGGCAGCTGCCACCACACCCAGCTAATTTTTGTTTTATATTTAGTAGAGACAGAATTTCGCCATGTTGGTCAGGCTGATAATTCTTAAAGGTCTCTGTTGCATGAGCAGTAAATTCAAAACTTAAAAAAAAAGAAAAAAAACCCAGAAATTTTAGTGTTAGAAAATGGTATTTGGGGATAAATTTTGCTTAGCAATTCACTATTTTCCAATTACAAGAACGTGCTTAGAAATCAACATTAAGATAACGTCTTTTTCTGATTACAAAAATAATATATACTGCTTGTAGAAAGTTTGGAAAACAGTATAAAGAAGAAAACGTTTTCATAATTCTATAACCTGAAGATGCATATGTACTAGAAAACAATTGAGACCTGACTGTAAAGAATTCACTGGGTTTTGCTTTTAGCCTTGACCTTGAATTTAGTGCACCATCACCACGTCCGAACATGACTTTTAATGGTTGCTCAGTATTGTTATGTGGATTTGCCATAATTTGCTTAACCAATCTCTTATCGTTGAACGTTTATATTGTTCCTAATTTTTTGCTTGTAAATAACACCGAATTTACTGTGGCAGATACACCCTGTGCATCTTAAGGTTAATCCCTAGGAAGGGGATTGCTGGGTGGGCAGCGGTTTTGATTGCGAACATCAGATACTCTACTAGTCACCTTGAGGCCAGTAAGATTTATCCTAAGGATTCTTAACGTGAGAGGCGCCTGGAATCGGGGCGCTCAGGGACTGCAGCCCTGTTCCTGGCTCAGAGTCAACCTTCCAGGAGTGGCTTGGCGAAAGCAGGGCGGGGCCGAGCAGGAGGACGGGGCGCGGACACTGCGGCAGGGCCACCCGGTGCAGGGCCACCCGGTGCAGGGAGGGATGGTGGGGTGCACTGTGACCCACACAAATCCAAAGATCCGGCGGCCAAGACCAGGCGCTCCCGGAGAGCTGAGATTCTTGGTGCTGGCTGGGCTGCTGGAGACAGCGGGTACCCCGTTCCCTCGGGAAGGTGGGGGACTTAGGTCCCCGTCTCTCTCTACCCCATCAAACCCTGGCGCGACGGGAGAGCTTAGCGAGAGCCCAGGCAGGTTGTGGGGCTGGACCAGGTTCTCCGTCAAGATCCAGGACCCCCAGAACCTGCTGTCATTGCCAGGATTCCCTGCGCGGAGCTCGCGGACGCCGGCCCGGGCAGAGCATTTGTTGACACAGTGCGCCCTCTAGTGGTCATTTTCCTGTGACCATCCCAACAGGCACGGACGAGGCTCTTGGTTCAAACCTTCAGCCCCCCAGGTCTGGGAAGTCTGTAGATCCGCATTCTCCTGGGACCCATGAGGCAATGGTTGAGGGTGCGTTAGGGGTTGGGAGGGCGTCTAGTCCTAACTCTGTCTCTAACTTGCCTGTGTGGCTCTGGCCACATCTGAACCCCAGCTGGGTCTCATCTTGGCCATCTGTGAAACGAGGAAAGTCATGCTGGCTTCACAGGTTTCGTTTGGGGGAGGGCAAGGGCTCTGAGCCTCTTCCCCCTTTGCCCACTTTCACTAGGCTTGGGACCCCAGGTTGGCTGGAGCAGGCATGTGCAGTGTGATCAGAAGATTCCAGGAGGCACGGGGTTTGTGCCCTACATTGGGGTACAATAAAATGCACAAATTCAGAGATAGGCTCTCTGCCGCTATGAGGATCACTCTTCCTGCCTTAGGGTAAACAGGTGCTAAGCAGAGGAGGTGACCAGGGTGGCCAGGAGCTCAGAGCCAGGCCCCCTTGAAGGTTGGAGGGACAGAGATTTTCTTATCTGGAGGTGCCTTGGGGACAGGGAGGTTTCTTGGAGAAGAAAGTAGTGGACAGATCTCATGGGGTCCAGGGACTGGACAACTGTGAGTTCAGGGAGCAGCTACTTTAGATACATGGGAAAACACCTCAGAAACCAGCTGGAAGGGGTGGCATTGGCAGAAATAGCTGAATAAGGAGCACTTCTCTCTGAGAAAAGCAGTAAGAATACTGGCCAAAATTGTCAAAACCAACTTTTTCAGAACTCTGGAAATTAATAAAAAACTTGCAGCTGGGTGTGGCAGCTCAGGTCTGTAATCCCAGCACTTTGGGAGGCTGAAGCGGGCAAATCATGAGGTCAGGAGTTCGAGACCAGCCTGCCTAATATGGTGACACCCTGTCTCTACTAAAAATACAAAAATTAGCCGGGTGTGGTGGCACGTGCCTATAGTCTCAGCTACTCAGGAGGCTGAGGTAGGAGAATTGCTTGAACCTTGGAGGTGGAGGTTGCAGTGAGCCATGATTATACTCCAGCACGGGTGACAGAGACTCTGTCTCAAAAACAGCAGCAGCAAACAACAAAAACCAAAACCAACCAACCCACCAACCAAAAAACAAAAAAACTTGCAATAATCCAGGGAGTACTAATTTTTTTTTAAACAGTGAAATATTGGTAAGAACAGTGAGATGATTTTTAAAAATTATTTTTAAAAATAGAGACACGGTCTCATTATGTTGCCCAGGCTGGTCTCAAACTCCTAGACTCAAGCAATCCTCCCTCCTTGCCCCCAACAAAGTGTTGGGATTACAGGTATGAGCCACCACACTGGCAGAGCTTGATGGCATTTTAATTGTCCTCCTTCTCCCAAGACTTGTGGTAGCCTTGAAACCCAGTGGTTTCATAATCATGGTGAAAACCAGCAGCTTGGAGACAAACAGAAAGATCAGAACAAGGTTGGAGCTTCTGCAAAGTCCAATTCCCAGATAACGGTCATTATTCAACTTGTCTGGTAGTTGGTTCCCTGGAAGAGACTCCACTTGCAAGGCTGTGTTCATCTGACTTGACTTGGTGCCCACTCAATGCATACAGCCTTTTCTCTGGGGTATGAAAGTCATCAGTGGCATTGCAGCTGCCTGAGGCAGTGATAACGGCTGGGGCAAATAAGAAGCTGACAAAATTTTTAAAAGAAGTTGAGGAATGAGCTGTCCATAGCAGTCTTTGAAAAGCTTTGGTGCATTCTTAGGAATCTACAAACATCCCCTCTTCTGTAGGTTCCTCTGATGATGGTGGTGGTGGTGGTGTGTGTGTATGTGTAATTGTGTGTGCATGTGCATGCATGAATGCATGTTTGTATGTGTGTACATGTGCTCTCTCAGCTCTAGAAATGGAAGAATCTCAAAGGTTTTCTTTCTCTTTTTTTGAGACAGGGTCTCACTCTGTTGCCCAGGCTGGAGTGTAGTAGTGTGTTCAGAGCTCACTGAAACCTTGACCTCCCAGACTCAAGGATCCTCCTATCTCAGCCTCCCAAGTAGTTGGGACCACAGGTGCCTGCCACCATGCCTGGCTAATTAATTTTTTTTTTTTTTTGGTAGAGATAGGGTCTCCCTATGTTGCTCAGCCTAAAGATTTTTCTTTATTTAGGTATAAAAAAATACAGTACTTGTCATACACCAGTGTGGCCAGTATATAGTCATCATCTGTAGAGCAATTACTACAATTATAGAAAATAGGTTACAGGAATTGTTTTTCCAACTAAAAAACCTGAATTAATATTGTTAACCTAAATAGCAATCTGCTTATTATGCAAAAACCCTTATTCTATATGTCTGTGAAAGCTAGAAACTTGTAAGTATCATTAGTAAAAAAATCATTATAAGAAACTAGTTGTTGGTTAAAACAAAAAAGTCAGTGTTATCTACAATCCCTCGCAGTGTGAGGGGCTTGCCTAGAGTGGGAACCTCGGTCATGACAAGGGTGAGCTGGGCGTCTCCTTCCTGCTCCTCTCTGTTGACTGATGAAACTTCTCCAAGGCGTGTTTGCAGTGACTGTTCCAGTGGGGGATGCATGGAGGACCACAAAGGTTGAGCAGGGCAGGGCCTTGCCTTCTGCAAGGTGTGCCTGAGGGTCAGTTCCCTGAGATGTGACAACAGCAAGGTGTAAAGGCACGTGGCTCGGCTCTTGTCATGCAGTCATGAGTGGGTTTGGACATTGGTCAGTCTTGCCGAAGGCCACATCTTGGGTGCCTCTAAGTCAAGAGACAAGGGGTGGACAGAAAAGAAAGAGAGCATGGATTGGTGACCAGGTGAGGCAGAGAAGGGGAGAGGTCTTCCGCTCCTAGAACATCTGTCCCCTCTCAGGCAAAACTGGAGGGGTGCTGAGGAGTCTCAGAGCAGGGTCTCAGCTCTTCCAGGCTCTCTCCAGAGGGGGTGGGTGTGGGGGTGGCCGTCACCCTGTGATCTGTCACTCTAGATCTCCACCACCCCTCCAGGATGAATTCACAGTTGCTTCAAAGTTCAACAAGCCATTTCCCTGAATGTGGTTGAATGGTTCAGTGTTCAGTACAGCACAGTTACTGGCATGGCGGGCCAGTGAGGTCACCTCAGGACCCAAGGTCAGGAGCTGCCATGGGGCCCCTTCCTCCCTCTTGACAGGCCTGGAGAGGGGCTGGGGAGTGGAGGGGCACTTGGTGTGGAATATGAGGGAGTTGGAGGAGGGCTGGGGCTCCTGAGAGAGGACTTGATGGACGGTCACAGTCAACCTTGGGAATGGGCTGCAGAGAATCCAGCCCCACAAGTGGAGCGGTCCAGGCCTTTGCCTCCAGGCGAATAGGCAACAGGACCTCACCAGCCTCACTAGGGAGTTCAGGGAGCCCCAGCAGTTGAACACAGGCTGCTTCGATTTGCCAGAGGAAGTCTTTGAGTTAGACAGTGATCGGTGGGTGACAGGGTTATGTGGATGGCTGAGCCCAGACGGAACACCAGCCTGGAATTGCTGGCATTTGAGAATAGCCATCACTGACATATGTTCCCAGATTTTTCAGGGACCTAGAGTTTGCTATCCCAAGGCTGATGAGGTCTCTGGGACTCACGAGGAGGGGGGGCTAGGCTGAGGAGTCAGTGCCATTCTTGGAGGTTGTGGTGCCTGGCTCTGGGC